CAGTTGGAGGCATATGCTTTTCCAGCTGGAGAGGCATTTCCTTTGCAATGCTTCGTGCCGTTCCAAGTCGCGGCCCGGCTGCTTCAATGTGATGTCATCCAACTGACAATGAATATGAACTACATCGTGCTCATTGAAATAATCTTTCCAATTCGATGGAGCTCCATGTGATTGCATCTCAGTCTCACACATGGAAACAACCACTGTTACAGAGACACCAAGATCTTCTTTGATGACATCCAAGTTGCAAGCGGCTTGCAAGCTGCCAAGCAGCACACTTGCCCTTTCTGTAGGCTTGCAAACAAGGCAACCATCCACAGGCCACGCAGCTATGGATGAGAAGCTGTAAGTGTGTTGGTAGATGATTTCGTCCAAGGCCGTCCATGAAGCAGTATCATTGTACGCATCCTGGATGTCCTTTTGCCTGGCTTGCGACCACTTCAGCATCACACGTTGCGCCATGGATGAGCCTACCTGAGAACACTGATGTCTTTTACCTGAGAAGAAAAAAGCTGCCACATCGTACATTCAAGCTGTGGAGTGAAGCACCTGGAAGCGACAACACAAAGCTCTTCAAGCAGGCAAATCTTTTTGGCAACTCAGGCACGAAACACAGATTTGCTTTCATGCATGGAAACTCAGACAGTTCTGGTTGCTTCACATGCGAAACTTGCAAAAGGAAATAATTCTACGTAAACCTCAAACAGTACTGGTGTGCTCGCTTGTGAAGCTCAGACAGATCTGGTTGCTTCACGTGCGATGCGTTAAAAACCAGTGAGTTCTGCCAGGTTCTTACTTGCTAATTGCATGCTGTCTTGAAAGCCAGCTGTCAGGCATTGTTCCACTTGCCCGCTTTCACTTTGGCAGGCGTTTCTACAATGAGATCAGAAGCAGGTCGTTTTTGGGTGGTGCTCATTTGCAGTCCACAGATGCCACGTCGCTCTGCTTCCACTGCGTCCATCTGCTCATCAGTGGCCAGCTTGAAGATCTTCTCAGCGATCACAGTCATGTTGGCACCTTGATCGTCGGCGGAAACTTTTCCCACCAACAGATGCACTTTGTGATCTGCCATGTTGAAATGGTGCGTTTGTTCCAGTTGGCAGAAAGCTTCAACAGAGAATGGTTTGGGATTTTTTGCTGCCACAGCGATGACCTTGGTGTGCTGCATCATGAAGACTTCATCATCTCCAGTGCCCGATTTCTTGATGGTTGGCTCCTCATCGTCCGCGCGAACGAGCATACTGATGTACCCAGGGAAAATGGGTGCATCTTGCAATTTCACACCAAAGCCTGAAAAGAGCAGATCTTCATATGGACAAGCAATGGGATAAACCATACCAACGGCTCTCTGGTTCTCCAAGCGCAGGATCTTGCGTACCATCGGCCGGCTCTGGTCATTGTATTCTTTGTACAACGCCGGCTGTGCAGCTACGACTTGAAACTGACATTCTGGCAATTGCACAGTTGCTGTTTCACTCTCTTGCGTCTGCAACACACCGGCAGCGGCTGCAGGCACATTGGATCGTGAAATGCCCGCTTTGCGGTTGTTTGTCGCTAGCCTCACGTCCACTGGCTGCTTGAAACAAATTCCTGCTGGACCACGTTTCTGTAAGAGTGTGAGAAGTTGCTCCTTGGAAGCTACAGCCGCCAGAGCTTGAAGATTCTGTTCGTCGACCAGAATTCTTTCAATCTCTCCAGTGTGATCTGCTACCTAGAGAGCCGAGAGTGCTTCATTAAAAGCCTTTGGGGCCAACTGCTTTCATTGCCCATATGCTGTTGGCAGAAGAAGCCTTTGGGTAACGAGCGCTGTCAAAGGCTCTCCTTGCCATGTGTCAATTTGATGTCATTGATTTTGCCTTTGCATGCATGCTGCATGTAGAAAATTCATGGTTTAAACCATGCATGTGCACGACCAATGCGCTATATATATATATATATCTATTGGCAAGAAAAGGATACTATATTTCTTTTTTGGCTCAAATTGGTTCCGCCCACACGGGTGGTTAACCATGCGCTGTCCGAACAAAAAAGATAATAGATATTTTTTTTTTAAATATATCACAGATTTCTCCCTGTTTTTGTGTCGATGTTTCCTTTTTTGGTGCAATTAAACCTCCCATGGTTTTCCATGCATGCATGGAGCAGGCGTTGCTGCATTTATTTTTGAAGATTCAAGTCCGAGACCGAACAGATTCATGTGTTGCATGAACAGATTCATGTGTTGCATGCATGATTTTTTTAAACAGATAGCAACATTTACTTGTCTGCATGCCAGTCACATGATCTGTGCACGTGACCAGCCACAAATTCTTCAGTCCAAAATCTTTGGAGTTTTTTTTTTCAACCTGGCGAATGCATCTCGGCATGCTTTGCCAAAGCGGTGCTATGTGGACACTGGAGCTGGTCAATGCCAGCACGGTCAGAGGATGGAAGGTGCCACCCCCTCCGCCATGCTGGGTGTGGAATGCTGCAGCGGGAGAGAACAGCAATTTCAAAATAATGGGGAATGATGGTTCCAATTAAGGGGAGTGCCAGCTCCGCTACCATGCATGGTTGTGGATTACGGCGTGTTTCTTTCATGCACGCAGCCATTTGAAGATTTGCAGGCGCAGTGGTTCGGGCCATGGCTTTGCACAGGCTGAAACCAGAGAAGAACAAAAAGGGTGGCCACAAAAAGGTCAAGGCTAGGAAGGCACAGGTGCCAGGGGCCACCCGTTCGTTTCGCATGATGCCTGACAAGCTCCATCCAGGACTTGTGTCTTGGTGTTTTGGTTGCACCCATGGGAGGGAGATGGAGGGTGTTGCATTTTTTGTATCAATCTAGTTGTTTGGCAGGCGCCTGCATGCGCCAGCCATGCAAGTCAAGCTGCATGTATCGTTGAATAGTCAGGATTACCATTTACCGGCTGATAACATCCCCATGTATACTTCGTCAACCAAACAAGGTGTTCACTCAAAACTGTTACTTTGCAGTAGGTGCATTCAAACTATGACCTCACTGCTGCAATCCAAGGCTGGTGGCATTGAATGCTGGTGGATTTCCTTTTGCACTCTTGAGCATGGTCGAGCTGATCTTCCGAAGCATGTCGCAACCTGCGGTGGTTGCTTGTCCGTATGCATCGGTGAATGAATAAATACATATACATATACATATACATACACATACATATACATATACATTTACATATACATATACATATACATACACATACAGACATACATACATGCATGCATGCATACATACATACCTACCTACCTACCTACCTACCTACCTACCTACCTACATACATACATACATACATACATACATACATACATACATACATTACATACATTACATACATAACATACATAACATACATACATACATACATACATACATACATACATACATACATACATACATACATACATACATACATACATGCATACATACATACATACATACATACATATTGTCACCTAGAGTTCGATAAAAAATAAAGAGGTCTTTTTACAAACAAACAACTTCATGGTGTATATATTTACTGTATATAAAAACATGTATTGTCGATACATGCGTTTTTTCAACCCACAAGGTGAGATCATCCACAGATATCTTCACCATCAAACTTGAAGAAACTAGCAATCATTTGGGGGAGAAAAAAACACCAGTTACCAGTTGTCAACCCTTCCACGCTATCCCCATCACTCTTCGATCCCAGACTTTGGGATGCGCAGAGATTTTCGCTGGATGCAAGAGCATTTGCGGTGGCTTCAGGCTAGGGGTTGGGGATGAATCAACCATGGAGCCAACCCAGCAGTGCAACCGTAAATGCCAGCCCCAAATCAACACATGTGCAGTAATGTCAACCCTGGATTAATAAACCCCTAGGCTGGTTAATTGGGGGGATACCATTTAAGTATTGGATTATGACTATTGGAGGAGTACCACCCTAATTAATAAACTATGGTTTATTAATCCGGGGTTGACATTATTCAATTTGAGGTTTTGGACATTTCCTCTGAAGAATTGATAGATGAACCATGAATTTGAAGGTGCTGGCATTTTGAAACATCCTTCTATCTATCGCATGTGAAACCGCTGGACAGGTCTCTTGGCTATGCTGCTGCTAGCTTCGAGCTGGACGACAGCCCACTGCAAGATTTCCTGAGTGGCATAGGCTTTGCCTACGCCTTGGCCTTGTGCGCCAGGGTAATCCGTGGTGTTGCTCAGATCAATTCAAAGTATGCAACACTTGTGACTATACAAGGGATTTCAAACAAAAGTAATACCATTGATGTAATCTTATACCAGTGAACCCATCTACATACTTTTATATTTTGTAATGTATACCATCCGTGTATCAGTTTCTACCAGTGCCTTTTGAACATTCATCACAGGATAGCTTGAGAAACAGTTCAAGCATCGTGCACAAGAGCCCCATCCATCTCGCACGCAATCGCTGCCAACTAAGGCTGGCCTTTTTTGGCTAGCACCAGTTTGCTCATCTTGGATATGGGTTAACAGGCTACTCGTCTCAAGTTTCAGTCAATCCCAGGTGCAAAATCTTAGATCATGCAGCCTCTAGTCATTTCAAACCTGTTTCAATCATGGGTATATGACAAGATATGACAAGTCATGTTGTCTTGCCAGACTCATGGCCCCAATGTCGAACTCAACAAAACTGTTCACAAGTCAATCAAAGTGGTCATCCAAAACCTCTTTATGCCGGGAGTCTTTTTGTTGTTGCCTATAGGGGAACAAGCAAACGTTCACGGCTATGTCCACTTGGCAATCCCAAAGTGCCTTCAGTGGCATCTGCGAGTCTTGGTAATATACTTACGGCTGAAAGGGCATGGGTGTTGGAGGTTCTTTCAATCCAAATACGGTGTTGGTTTGAACCTGTTTGGATAGCATTGGATCAGTCTTACCCAAAATGAAAAGCCTGGAAGATTTAAGCTCTGCCACATCCCTCAGAAACCATTTGGTTCAAGTTAAAAACTTGTTGGTGCCAACCATGTCGGACAGCCCACCAGCTCTAGCGTCCTCACCAGCATCTCCTGTGGCCGATTCCAGCGAGTGGATGCATGTTGGGCCAGAGATGGGGGAGGCGGAGTATGTTGTTGCCTTACAGAAGTTGGGCATTCAAATGGCTGCCAGCATCCCACAGAAGCTCCAGGAACGGGCTGTGACTCCATTATCGGTTCAACCCGAGTGTGATCTGCTCATAGGTGATTTCAAATGCAAAACCAAGGAAAGAGACTTGTTTCCTATCTGCACTAATTTCAGGATGTCGGGATTCAGGGATTTTGAAAGAATTTGAAACAGTGTTTGTTTGATAGGACCCCCACATAACTCTACCAATTCCAGCTGGGTTAAGATGTCCATCTAAGGTTGAAGAACTACTGGTGCATCTTCTCAATCTTGAAGTTGCATACATTTCGATCTCGCCACCCATCGAAACCGGAGCTGATGATTGTGATGGAATCATTCAACGACCATTTCCAGGCAACAAGCCATGCATATATTATAAGTATCCAACCCAAATCAGAAATTTATTAAAGTTTGATTATTGATGTTTCCCAATTACAATATGCAAACCATCCCAAGCTCCATGCAGGGCCTTGCTATCCGAGCTGATGAGCACACAGCTGCTTGGCTGCCTTATGTGCTGTCCCATGTCAGGGCACATTCAAAAAATCAAACAGGGAACACTGATGATCCATTTGTGCGCTCCAAAGGATACACAGACCAAAATGAAGAACACGGTGGGGAAGGTTCAGAAATTGTGGTCTGGACTTCGCAGGACATATGGTGGGATGTTAGTGTGAACCATTCGTCCCTTTCAAAACCTTTATTCAACAGAAATGTCCATAATAAAAAAAGGTGCTTGTCCAATCGGTTTTAATTACATCATTGCCCAGTCCCAAGAGTCCATTTGAAAGCCACATTACAAGCTTGCACTGGGAAATTGTAGCTGCAGGATGTGGCAGAATTCACCAGATGCTTCCAGATCACCATGGGTTCAGAAGATCAAAGACTTCATGGAGAAAGCCCACGATGACCCAACACCAGTGGGGAAGGGGGCAGAGCCGGATGCTGAAACCGAATACATGGGGAGTGACCAAGAATTATCTGTGAGTGATACTTCAGATGGAATCCCTGACCATTTCATGGGGATGGTTGACGAACCTGTGATGGCATCCCATGATGAGGTACCTTGGTTCTTACTTTGAAACTTTCATTTTGACACAGGAGTGAAAAACTAGTCTGAATGATATCAGGGTGATACGTAGTCGCTAGCCCAAGTGTGGTTGAAACAGGTTTCAAAACATATGCATGCACAATCCTGCAAATCTATTTGTTATACACCCACCATGTGAACATCCCCCAAGATTGGTCACAGGATATTTGTTTCATCGTGGTACTATATAGTTGCCTTTCCTTGTAATTATATACTTTACCTAACTATGTGCATCCTGCGGCCCAGGACAGCGATGTCAGCAGCAACATCTGGGGTGACCAACAGCTTCAACTTGTTCTGGCTGATGATATTGGCCTTGAAGGCGCATCCAAGGAACCTGCAGCCAGCTGTGACCAGGGAGCAGATGGTGCAGGCCATGAGGGCGAGTCCCATGAACCGGGATCTAAGCACATTGAGGCTGCCAATGCCCTCTTCACTGATGAGGAATGGGGTGTTAAAAAACATGGCTGTTGTTTTATACTGGGAAGAGTGTACAGGATAAAACCATTTAACACAAAAAAACAACTTTGGTGATTGTCTTTAGTGGGGTTCTTACACTAAGGATCCTGAAGCTTTCAAGGATGCCTTGAATGAGATCAAACCAGAACCTGTGGATGTGGAGCCAGCTCATGGGTCCAAGTCCAAGAAGCGTAAGTCCAAGTCCAAGTCCAAGTCCAAATCCCGTTCCAAGCGAGCTAAGGGGGGTCATGATACTTCTACAGAAGCTAGAGCTGGTTCTGTGGATAGAGAACAGGTGCTGCAATCGTTTGATCAAAAGTACCAGGATGTGATCAAAAGTCTCCCACATGTTCTGTGGCCAACGTCTACGAAGCATGGTGAACACAGCTACACGGCGACCCTTATCTTCCAACCCAAGAATACTTTATGATTCGGGGTTAGTTGAAATCATGGTATGTCTTATGGTCACTATAGGCTGGTAGGCTGGGGACTCATACCTCAAAACCATTCAGCTAAGGAGAGTGGGCGAAGCCAGAGTGGAAGTGCTTCTCAGGCAGCAGGCGCTGAAACCCAAGTCAGATGTTCAGGGCAACAAGCTTTCGGGTGAGAAGGGAAAGTCGACACTTGGGTCAGATTGAACAATATGTTATAACCTCAAGCTCCACAATTTTCTTTCCGGGAAGACCAGTAGAAGGGAACCCCAACTCACTATACCCAAAGCTAGCATTCAAACATAATATCAACAGCCCGTGATGCACGGCCTGTCTTAGGATGACGTTCGCCAAGAACATCAAGGATACCTGGGATCAGGTGCGAAAGAAGATGGGCATGGCTGACCCAGAGGAAGTTGATTAAGTAATTTTCAATCGTGGTGGCTGAAAGCCTGCCATATGACATCAGAGTGTTGCAGGCATGGCTACATACACTAGTAGGATCGCTGGAAGGGTGGCAATGAAATGAGCGAGTGCATTCCAAATTCCACTATCATGCTTTCACAGAATCACAGAATTTGTGGTGGTTTGATGCTGACCTTCCAAAATTCTGAGATGCAGCGTAGTCTAGGGGAAGCGATGGGGCGCCTCCTTTCTTAGCCACACTGCGTGTGTTATCACAACAGTTTGAACGCCTGTGGCAGTGAGATGTGAAAATATGATGCCAAAGATTGAGCCACGGGGATATCAGCAAATTAAGTGACAATCGTTGGGTTTATGGGAACACCAAAGAATGGGGGCCAAATAAGAAACCTAACCCATCCAGATTCTTCAGCCTTACATCCATTGCTACCATCAACCGTGGTCAACCGTGCCCGCTCAGGAATTGCATGGTGTGCAGATGCTGCATTTGTCTCCTCATGTGTTGCATCACCAATACACCATTTATATTGGAGCAGCCTGGGAGTTCACTTTTGGAGTGGCACCCATATTTCCAACTGCTGTGTCGGCGATTCAAAATCTACCGCGTGCCATGCCCTAAACAAGTTGATATGATTAGATGAAGAATTCAGCCCCAAAAGTTAAGGAGGTCATGTGCCATCTGGAATCGATCCTAGGTATTTGTATGGCTTGGATCCTTCGGAGGAGGCAGTGCCTGGTCAGGAATTATGGGCCCCACCATGCTGGAAAATTAAAGGAAAAAACCATTGGTTTCAACACAGGATGTTTTCGGGACCCTGGAATATCCTTGAGGATTGCCATGGCCCATGCATTCAGGTCCAAAGCCGACGTTGCTTTACTCCAATTATCAATGGATTCAATCCCTCTACTTGCCACTGCCGAGCAACGTGGAATGGACATCGGAGATGAGCCGGAAGCACCTGGGAACCGAATAGGTGTTTAGTGCTATGGGTCTCCCATAAATAGTCTGATAGATAGATAGATATATATATATATGTATATATATATAACCGGTGAGTATGTACTATATATATATGTATGTATGTATGTATGTAAGTAATGAAATGAAATGAAATGTAATGTAATGTAATGCAATGTTATGTTATGTTAAGTTATGTTATGTTATGTTATGTGATGTATGTATGTATATGTGCACCACACCTATCAGTACCATATAGAGTCATCCCACCAACCCAACCCAACCCAACCCAACCCAACCCAGGTATATCGATGGGTCAGGAATTCTGCGTGTTTGCGGGGGCAGTGACCTGAAGAACAGCCAATACTACCCGAAGCTCTTCGGACATGCTGTGGCACAGGCCTTTCAGGCTCATGCGAAAGAGGTTCAGGATTCTGTGAAAACCCAACTGATGCTCGGTTCAAGTTGGCTTCCCAACATCAGCTCCCAACAGCCATTGACAGGCAATCAATGGTTTCTCAACCGTATGCCAGTTATGACATAATTCGGCTTCGCATCAGGCATGCAGGTCACACTGTATACCCTTACTTAACATATCAGCATTAGCATAAGACATTGTGGTCAGTATCCGGCCCAGGAAAAAACTCCAAAAGATGGAAAAGCCAATCCGGCGTATGAAGGACTGTGCATTTCATGGGGCTATCATGGGCCATTTACACACACACATATATATATATATATTGTGTATGGCATATATGTATCATTATATGTGTACATATATTATATGTATATAAATGTAAATATACATGTGCAGTGCATATGTTAGTATATTTATAGATACATGTATATTTAGCATATATATATATCCAATATGCCATATATATATATATGGTCCTTTTGTAAATATATATATATATATATATATATAACCAATATGCCATATATATATGGTCCTTATATCTATATAATATGTTTTACATATATGTAAAACATATCATACAGAAAGGACCATATATATATATATATATATGGCATATTGGTTTATATTCCAAATCAATCCAAAGCAGATCCCCAGAATACCCAGTGATTGAGGTTTCAGATCCCCAGAATACCCACCAGTTGTCCAGCTCTAATCCCAGTGATTGAGTTTTGGGGATATATCAGCACAACCCCTTATTATCCCATCAATCATCACCAGTCTGTGGAGTCTGGGAATTCCGGTGCAGGATCTTTCATGGGCTTCTTCAGCTGACCTGCCGCAAGTCTTGGAAGCCCTGCGATCCTAGATGGATCTATAGCAATGCTGCCACTAATTCGGGGGCTTGTGCAGCCCGGGAATGGAAACCATGACCCAGAAGCAAAATATATTGGGATTTCCCTCAGGCTTGGATCTATAGGAGCTAACTTTTTGATTTTGATCCAAAAAAAAACAAACTTTGTGGAGAAATTGCAATTTTTGATGAAACAATCAAAATCCGAGAATCCGGGAAAAAGCCGAGAATCACCCAAGAATAGCCGGGAAATTTCTTGGATTTTGGAGCAGCTCGGAATTTTGGAAAATCACACACATTTTCCCCGAAATTGCCCAAGAATGTTCTCGCATTCTCGGATTCTTGGTTTCCCGGTTTCTCGGTTTCTCGGTTTCTCGGGGTGTTGTTCTATGTTATTCTATGTTGTTCTCGGTTTCTCGGTTTCTCGGTTTCTCGGTTTCTCGGTTTCTCGGTTTCTCGGATTCTCGGTTTCTCGGATTCTCGGTTTCTCGGATTCTCGTTTTCTCGGATTCTTGGTTTCTCGGTTATATGCTTAGAGGTCTCAGAAGGATTCATTCCCGGAGCTGCATTTTTCAAGCCTAAAATAGAAATTCAGAGCGATTCCATTTTGGAGAAATTGATCCCTATAATATGACGAGCGACCATGTAAAAGATATGTCTCTGCTGTCTTGAGAGTGAAGCATTTTAAGTCAAGAGATCATAACATATATCAAGATTATTTCATGAATGTATTTCTAAACCCCAGCCATCTGCGGTCAAGTCTATATAGGTTGGTTTAACCATGGCCAATTCGACGGTGCCCACACATCGAGTCCGTGGGAAGTCAGCCCCCCGGGGCCGGAGTCCAGATCCTAAATCGTTGAAGAAGGCAGCCAAGGCAGCCAAAGAGCGAGAGAGAAGGTCGAAGAAAGAACATGTAGGTTTGGTGACCCCACCACCCAAAACCAAGACAACACCGAGCTCTAGCCAGTCTAGTGCTCCAAAGGAATCATGCAGGAGGAGGATTTCCTTTGGACCGGACACTGTCCATGAGATCGACCCTGAAAACAAGACCAACAAAGACATGAAGATCGAGGAAGCAGATCAAATCCTTGCAAGCTTGAAGAAGGACCCAACGCCTATCATATTTGTGTAGGGCTTTTTTTAGTCCCATCCCACACATTTCAAAACATATCCTCATATTTGTGTATGGCTTATTTTTAGTCCCATCCCACACATTTCAAAACATATCCTCATATTTGTGTATGGCTTATTTTTAGTCCCATCCCACACATTTCAAAACATATCCTCATATTTGTGTTCATCAAAGCCTGCAGGATGGAAAGAAGACAAAGATCAACAAGGAAAGGGAAGCCAGCTCATCGGACGTGGAAGAGATGGAGGCAAGGAAAAGGTGGTGGTCCAGATTTGAAAAGCCAGGGCAGTTCCACAAAGTACCAGGGCTAACTAGAGAGCAGCTTAGAAGCAACCGTAAAACAGACACAGCTTCCATCCCACAAATGCAGCTATGGTGGGAATCCAGAATGCACACTTCGGAACAGGAAACCAAAGTGAAAGAGAAGAAGCGAAAGGAAGGTCAGGATGAACGCAAGAAAAACAAGACAAAGGACAATAGAAGGACAGATGAGAAGAAACCCAAGAGTACCGATGGCAAGACAGACAAAACAGCCGAAGCCAAAGGTAAGTCAGATGGAGAGAAGACCAAGGATACTGACAGGAAAAAGAAAGCCAAGACAGATGATGCAAAGAAAGAAGAGACGACTGATAAGAACGAGAAAGAATCCAAGGATGCCGAGAAGAAAGCTGATTCAGACAGTGAGGAAAGCAGTGAAGACACGGGCAGCAACGGGTCTTCAACAGAGACAGAAGACGAAAGTCAAGGCATCGATGGTGAAGAGATCGAGTCTGGTGAGAGCACCAGTGATGCAGAGGAGAAAAGCGAAGATGAATCATCAACTGAGGCAGAAGATGATGATGAGAGTGACGATGATGAAATCGATACCGATCGTGAAGACGAGGAATCTGCTTCTGAAAAAGAAGATTCCCAGAAGCCTGTTGGAATTCTAAAGAAGCACAAGGCGCCAGCGAAGACCAAGGAAGAGAAGGAGAAGGAGGGACAGAAGGCCAAGGAAGAGGAGAAAGAGAAGGAGAAGGCGGCACAGAAGGCCAAGGAAGAGGAGGAACAGAAGGAGAAGGCGGCACAGAAGGCCAAGGAAGAGAAGGAACAGAAGGAACAGAAGGAGAAGGCGGCACAAAAGGCCAAGGAAGAGAAGGAACAGAAGGAGAAGGAGGCACAGAAGGCCAAGGAAGAGAAGGAACAGAAGGATAAGGAGGCAAAGAAGGCCAAGGAAGAGAAGGAGGCACAGAAGGCCAAGGAACAGAAGGAGAAGGAGGCACAGAATGCCAAGGAAAAGGAGGAGGCACAGAAGGCCAAGAAGACAAGCCAGAAGACAAAAGACAAGGATCAAGAAGTGGAAGAGTCTAGCGAGGATGAGGAAGAGGAATCTGAAGGCAGCCAGTCAGAGTCAGAGTCAGAACAGACGAAGAAGAAAAAGGACAAGTCCAAGAGGAAGGCCTTGAAGGCAGAGAGCAGAAAGAAGAAGAAAGATAAGAAGATGAAAGACAAGAAAGGCAACAAGGCCAAGACCAATGACCAAGAGACTGAGCCAAAGTTGAAGGAGGTTGAGAAAGACTTGGTCAAAACAAAGAAGCGTGACCGTGATGATGATGATGAAAAGGATGGGAAAAAGAACTCCTCGACCCACAGGAAGGAGTGGCAGACCTTTGGCAGGTGGGTGAAAAACAAGAAGCGATGTCCTGCAAAGATTGCAGCAGCATGCAAAGACCAGGACTGCCTTGATCATTCATACTCACTGGTCATCAAAACCTTTTGGGTGTAAATCTGGGCAACCAATATTACAAAAGAAAACTTTTATACTATAGGGACTATATGGAAGGTACATCAATATATATATAATATATATAATATATATAATATATATATATATAAATATTAGCCATTGACCCTGCCTACATATGCCTACATATGCCTACCACCACCTTGAAACCGTATTCTTTACTTTCCAATCCCAATCTACTTGTCACAGGACACCAGGCTGCGACTGTTCAACGACTACATGGACAACGGAGAGGACTTTGCTGAAGTTGAGGCTATCTTCCAAAGTCGTTTGGAGGAAAGCCAAAGGAGTTCAGTGAAATATGGGTTTAGAAATGACCAATGGCTCATAAAGCACCATGGCGCCAAGAAAGCTGAGAAAATCATGGCTCGCAAGAAGTCGTTGGGGTTGAATCTCGGTTCAAGATATGTTGGCCCCGGGAAAGAATTTGAAGCATCAACCCATCTGGTCCCGGTGCCATGTTTGGTCCTGCCTGCATAGAATCCACCACCAAACTTCTGTAGCTTCCTTGCTCCTGCCAAGGACAATGGAGGACCCGGAATTCCCAGGCGAAGACGAGTTCCTCTACTTCGTCTTCATCGAATTCAACATCGAGGACATCAAGGAATACAAACGTATTACAGCATTGGAAATGACTGGAACCTTGGATCCTGATGGCGTGAAGGCTTTCGTGGATGTTACTCAGCTAAATTGGGACAGTATACTTCACCATAGTACCTATTACCCACAGTTTAATTGGTTGTTTGTTTAGATTGGTCGTCCACCAAGAGTAACCAAAAGTGTCACTAGTAACTAGTATCATCCAACCATCCCTCATGCTGGTCTCATCTTTCCGGATCATTCCCCATCTACTTAGTATCATCCAACCATCCCTCATGCTGGTCTCATCTTTCCGGATCATTCCCCATCTACTTAGGCCGGCGGGTGCTTGGATGGGAAGCAACACTTGGCTCTTGGCGACAAGCTGGGCGCAGAGGGGGTTGCAAAGATGTTGGGTTCTGTTGGCCTGAAGGGTGATGCTTCTGCCACCAAAACCAAGAAGGGCAAAGGTCAGAGGAAACCGAAGGCAAGTGCAAAACAAGAAGCCAAGGAGGCACATACTTAGTCTATCCATGGATTTAGATTTCATGAGTCTAGATTTCGAATGTTTCATTATACCCAGTCAACTCATGAGTCCACCCCATGCCATGGTACAGGTTACGCCGGAGACTCCTTTGGAAAAGGCGGTGAAGCTGCAGGAAAAGGTCCTGAAGGATGCGAATAGCTGCCGGACACCAGACTGCACTATAGTATAGTCAAATGGCTCGATATGGATTGTAGATTATGTTTTTGGATGAATCCTCTTAGATAGATTATTATTAGTCAACAACCTATCTAATAATCTATTATAGTCAAATTCCTCTTCGCTGATGTTTATGGACGCCATCAACATCTTTCTATCTAAGGGACTTCGCTTTTAAGCTTCGCCCCATTTCGATGTCCAATGACCTTATCCAGCAGTTGAAAGCTTGTGCGGTGAAGTTGCAAACGTGCGCAGAGCAATTGCAGCAGAAGATCCGCAACAAGAAGGACACAAATAAGCATTACGTTGCCATCCTGGCAGAGGCAACAGTTTTTATTTTTTCTGGGGTACAAACCTGTGACAAACACTTACTGGTTTTCCTATAGTCAAGGCAAACATCCTTTGTCACACTCAGTCTTAGTGATTGCCCTCCAGGTCACTGAGATCACGAACATGGCAAAGGAACGAGTTGATTTGGCTAAGGCTTTGATCCGTGCTGTTGACAAACCCCGGCCAAAGAGCAGGGCTAAGCCGGGTGAGGGAGAGAAGCCTTTGGCAATCACCAATGGTGAAGCCACCGCTGCATAGGCTTGTTTCACGCAATTTACATTTTGATGTTTGTTCGATTCCGAACATGGCTTTTAGGGTTTGACAGTGGCTCTTAAACCTTCCCAATTTGCAAGGGATGAAAACATTAAGAAAACATTTTGAAGTTGTAGATTCAATTCAAAGAAACTCCAATTCTGTTCACAGGGAGGGCTGGGTCTACTGTGGTTTCTCTGGGGTACTTCAAGTTGCAAAACACGCAGCCTAATCCCATACATCTGAAAGGATCGGAGCGATCCAATGCGATGGAAATAGAGTGGCAGAACTCACCCTCAAGATTTTGGGTATGTGCATATATCTCAAATGACAAATGGTTTCATTGGACATCCCCTTTCCATATGGCAAGTGGTGGCTTCAACCCATCGAACATGTAGCACATGTGTTAGACTCCCACGCAGGCCCAGATCCCGATCTCCTCAACATCGGCGCCCTCACAAGGACGAGTTCAAGAGTGCCTCGGAATTCAAGCTCAGGGCATTCCACCCAACCAAGAAAATCGAAAAACAAATCCCATTGACCCTTCATATCTGTTCATATCAATATAATCATTTTTGATATATTTATATATACACACACATATATATATATATACATATATATATATATATGTCACCTATATATATATATATGTGACATATATGTATATATATATATACATACATGTAAACGTATATGGAAAATACACATGGATTTATCAATAGAAATCTCTTCATGCAAATACTTATGTATATCCGGTTGGGGGATCCGATCTTGATTGTGAGGCTTGCTGCAATTAGCATCGGCTTCTTCAAAGAGGATACTTCGAAAGATTTGTGATGGGGCCGCTTGGCCCAAAACGATGTCAAACATGAAATGGAAAAAATAAGGGATAAGTCTTTCTATGAAAAAAAACAAATGCAACATGGGGGTGATAAGTAACAAATCAATCCTTGGACTAAACCTTTGCCACACTTCATCCTAGGCTACATCAGCAGCTGATGGTTGCAGAGATGCCAGAGAACTTGTGGCTGATGGGGTTAAATGTCCCTTGGCAAGGGAAATGAATCGGTGGCTTCAAGGTGGACACCCTGAGCGGTCCTTTGCAAGGCCCGTTGGAGTTTTGATTGCCCCATTTTATTAAATGGGGAAGGGGTGCGACTGTATATTTTGTATATGCCCTCAATGTTGAACCCAGAAATATGGTTTTAATCTTGGTTTTATTATATGTAATATGGATGATACCATCAACACCCCAGGTGGTGCAAAGAAGTGTGCACTATCCACCCAGACACCGTTGGTGTTCCCCTGCTGGTCACTAATGAGTCTGGGGACGAAATTGAATCAGTGTCGGATACAGCAATCATTTGGCCATGGGATTTCTTTGCCCATCTTGATGAGACTGGAAAGTTTTTGCAATGGATCTCGGATGATCCCAATTCAGCCAGTACAAGAACCATCGAGTATTGGAGCCACTGTGAAGGATTGGACTTCTTTCGGAGGTTGGATCTCCCGCCAGAGCGCTATGGGTCTTGTGTTCCACTTTACTTTCATACTGATGGGGTGAAAGTCTACAAGAATCAGAAAGCTTGGGTGTATTCAATCAGCTCTGCCTGTCGGAAAGGGCCATCCATGGCAACAAAGTTGGTCTTCATATTGGTGAGGGATAACATGGTAGTCAAGGGAAAAACGCATGATGCAATTGGAAAATTGGCTGGCTACATATGCGATACACTAATGAGTGGTTGTTTCCCTTCCCTGGACCATGAAGGGAATCAATTCGATCCAGGGTCCCAGGCTTTTCGAAGAGCTGGACAAACTTTTGCATCTGGGTGGTCGATGGCCTTCACGGGATTCAAGGGTGACTGGGAAGCTCGCGTGATTGTGCATAAATTGACCCGGTATTATCGTTCAAAATATACCTGTGAACATTGCATGGCATCCTATTCGAAAGACTTCACCTTTGCTGATTTCCGGCCAGATGCAGCTTCTCAATCTGTACGGTTTTCCCATGACCAATTCCTTTTACTGAATCCACAGCATGATCAAAGCAACTGGCAACATGTGAAGGGGTGGACCAAAGATCGAAACTTGGAAGAAACTCGCATTTGATTCAGACATGTTGTTTCCACATTCTTATTTTCATTTCTGAATGGTTGGTTTGTTTGATGGTTTGGTTCAGTTTCCCCAGCATTCCCACCGGATGTGCCTGAAAAAAAAATCAAAATCACCAGGGTTGCAACCATGGTTGCCATTGCCACCTCAATTTCCGGGTCGGGGCATGCACTCACATGGTAGCCCCAGGACCTACTTCATGTCTTCCATCAAGGAGTTCTTTGTTGTGTGATAGCAGGCCTGATTTGCAGTCACATTGAGAGCTACTATCCCGCCATTACCTTGAAGGATCTCGACAGGGTCTTGTCAAAAGAAGTATACCCACATTACAAACAATGGTGCCGGAGAAAGGGGAAACATGCAACAGCGTGTTCACACAGGTTCAATGGAGCCCGATTTGGGAAGGAGTCATGGCCCGCTTACCCTGAACTGGGTTCAATTTTCAAAGCAGCTGTTGTAAAGACTATGCTTTACTGGTGCAACGATTTCTTGAAAGAAGCTGTTGGGCGTGTAGCTGGTGCAGAAATGAGGTTCCATTGCATATATGGATTTGCAAAATTCCAGTTCCTGATGGACATCAATGGGCCATTCTTTGAACCCAACAAAACACGTGAGACTGTGAAGTATGCCCGGGCTGGATTGCTGTTCTATCAAAAACTGGCTGGGGATGATAGATCCCGGATTGATGACCACCGATTCTTCAAACTCATTCCCAAATTCCATTGCCTTTACGAGCTTACGCTATACATGGAGGAAACCAACCGCAACCCACGGTGCCTGAGTTTTGTAAAGTCTTGTTATACTTGTTTTAAAATGTTTTAAGCACGTATGTACTTGTTTTTTTTTGGCATCCTCACAAGGGTTTTTGGAGTTCCATGGCTACCTATAGCTCAGGTTCGAGCATTGCTACCAAGATGAGGACTTGATGAAGGAAATTGGCCATATCGCTAGCCGAACCCACCCAAGCACAATGGATGTAGTGACACTTAGAAGGTACCGAGCCCTGCTGGAATTCTTTCACTGAGATACCGGGCTTTGAGCTCGGCAACGCAGTTGACACCGACCGCGGAGATGGAAAAACATGTGGTGATGGGTTTTGGGAGTTCCAAGTTGTGGTTTTGAATCTGTTGGTGAGTTTGTTGTTTTCAAAAAAGTGGTACCAATCCTGTGGTGCCAAACCTGTTTGGGATGTATGTGCTGCCAAACCTCTTTGGGAAATATCCCAAAAAGAACATGTATGTGGTGCCAAACCTAGGGCTGTTGAGCGACGAACAGGCAATGTGAGCAACAAACATGTCAACTTGGTTTTCCCGAAAAATGGTGTGACTGTTTTGTTGAATCTACCACACCCCCTATATATAAGGTTAAAACAGTTTACCCCATATATATATATGTTTATTTATTTATTTATTTATTTGTTTATTTATTTATTCATTTATATATATATATAAACAGATATCCGGAAACTTCCGCCCCCAGCTTGTTTGGGGAGTGGCTCAAGCATGCATGCCCAGGATGCCAAACTTTGTTTCCAAAAAAATGAGCGACCCTGGAACAGAATAAAGCAGAAGCTGCTGTGATTTCACAAGTTAACTGCAGAGATCCACAGCACAGTGCCTAGCCATGCCAACGAACCTTTCATGACAGCTCAGAAACTGCTGTGATTTCACAAGTTAACTGCAGAGATCCACAGCACCATGCCTAGCCATGCCAACGAACCTTTCATGACAGCTCTCGTTGAAAGCTGTTATGGTTACATGAACCCGAAGGCTTTCAATTCAACACTCTTGGCTCTCTAGGTAGATTCACTGTCGCCAAAATAGCGATTTCATCATCACGCTCCGTCTGACAACTGTGTGTGTCGTGCCGTTTGCAGTGTCCAGTGTCTGGGTCGATCTTTGTGCGGCAGTTTCTGCATGCCACATACGTGGGATTGCCTAAGACAGATGTCACCCACACATTGTTGAGCTGCACCTCGATGACGGTATCCTTTGCCTGCGGTGCAAAGAAGCAGTACTTTTTTTTCGTTCAATCCTTTTCATTCAAAGATTTTTCAAACATTTGTTCTTTCAGTTCTTTTCTTTCAAGCAAACCAGACACAAACAACACACACGGACACACACATA